CCCCCGCCGCGCCCGCGGCCGCGGCGCCGCCGGCGCTCTGACGGCCCCGCGGGTGTGCGGGGGCGGGCGCCGAGGAATCCAGCGCCGGGCGGGGCCCACCCTTTGCCTCCCGTGCGCTCTACGCCGGCGCTACATAGCTCAACCCCGCCTTCTCCCATCCCTGCCCCCACGTTCCCCGGCCCCCCCGGCTGCACGCCTGCGGGCTGAGAGGGGGCAAGGGCGCGCCCCCTTCCCACTCCCCCCGGTGACGTCACCCGGCGCGCCCGTTGACCCCCTGCCTTGCACCCCACGCGCGGCCCCCGCCCCGAGACCCCCCAGGTGCTGGAGGTGTACGTGAGGGACAGCCACATGACGGGCCGCACAAACTTGGGCAAGGCGACGTTCCCCCTCAAGTGAGTGGCGGGGGCGCGGTATGCGCAGCAGCGCCTGCAGCGGCACGCGCAGCGGCGCGCAGCAGGTTGAGAACGCTCAGCACGCCCCGGGCGCGCGGCGGAAGCGCGGCGGGCCGGAACCCCCGGCCTGGAAAAGGCCAGCAGCCGCGCCGCCGGCGCGGCCGGCCACCGGGCAGCTTCTCACGCCCGGGCTCGCGAAGCGCCTGCCTCCGGGCGGCCCCGCGCGCGTGGCTGCCGCGTCTGCTGCGGGCTCCCGTGTTCCCGACCCCTCTCGCCACTCTCGAGCGCCGCCGCGCCGCGACGCTCGCGCACCTGCGCGCACCTGCGCGCGTAAGCAGCGCCCGTCCGCCATCCACGCGCGGCCCCCGCCTGTTCGACTTCCCGGCCCCCGCAGGGACCTGCCGCCGCGCGGGGCCGCGAGCGTGTGGCTGCCGCTGTACGATGACGCGGGGCGGCGGCTGGGGGAGGGTGAGGTGCTGCTGGACCTGAATTATAAGCCGTTCGTGGATGATGACCAGGTGGGGTGGGGTTGATCTGGTGTGTGTGGCCGCGTGTGTTGAGAATTTTATGTGTGTGTGTGTCTGAAGGTGCGCGTGTGTGTTTGTGTGTGCGTGCATGCGAGCTAGTGTGTGTGTTTGCACATGATGAGACTTCCGATGTTTGTGTTTATGTTGGGGTGTGTGGTTCGTGGATGACGACCAGGTGGGGGGCTGGAGGTGGGGGTGTGGTGATGTGTGTGTGTATGTGTGTGTTGAGTTGTGTGTGGAGATGCGTGTATGTGTTGAGATGTGTGTGTGTGTGTGTGCGTGTGGTGAGATATGTGTGGATGTGTGTGTGATGTGAAACTTGCACGCACACGCGCGCGCGTGTGTGTGTGAGCGCGCGTGTGTGCGTGTGTGTGTGTGTGCGTGTGTGTGTTTGCGTGCGTGTGTTTGTGTGTGTGTGTGTGTGTTGAGGTGTTTAATGGCATGCGTGAGGAGGGCGGCGGCACAGGCTAAGGGGGCCGCGACGCGTGCCTGCGCACCCACCAACCAGCGCAGCACCGACACCCCCCCTCCGCCGCCCCGGTGCGCGCGCGCGCAGGACTCGGGCTACCGCGAGGCGGAGGCGTTCGCGCGCCAGATGCAGCTGCAGACAGAGGAGATCACCGACATCAGGTCCGCCGCCGCCGCCAGCAGCCGCGCCGCCGTCGCGGCGTCTGCGGCGATCAGCGCCATAGCGATGACCAAGGCGGCGGCCGCGCGCGCGGCCGCGCGGGCGGCGCAGGCCGCGAAGGACGCGGGTGTTGCGGCGCTGAGCACGGCGAAGGACGCGGGGGCGGCGGCGCTCAGCACGGTCACGCTGCAGCAGCAGCAGCAACAGCAGCAGCAGCAGGATGAGGAGGGCGGCGGTGGCGGCGGCGGCCCTGCAGCAGGCACCGGCGTTCCGGGCAGCAGCAACGGCAACGGCGCCGCGTCGGGCGCGGCGCCGCCGCCGCCGCGGCCCGCGACGCCGCCGGGCGTCCCTCAGCTGCCGGCCGACACGGCCGCGGCGCGCATCGCGGCGGCGGCGCTGGCGGAAGTCGAAGAGCTGCGGGCGGCGGACGAGTCGCTGCGGACGCTGTCTTCTGACGAGGAGGAGGCGGAGAGCCAGCGGCGCTGGAAGGCGGAGGTCGCGGCGCAGCAGATCCGGGAGCGGTGCGTGTGTGCGTGTGCGTGTGCGTGTGCGTGTCCGTGTGTGTGCGCGTCGGGGCGGCAGGGGTGCTGCTGTCTGGGCTCGCTGGCGCCCGTGGGTGGGGGTCCGGGGCAGTCCACGCCCGACGAGGCGGGTCGCACCTGGGCTCGGGCGGCGCTGTGACTAGAGTCGCGGCGCCCTGAGGCTTCTTTTGTTTATCAAGCGTTGCAGCGAATGAGATTCCTCACCACGCCACCTGATCGACATTCTCCCGCCCCCTTTTTGGTTACTCCCACCCACAGCACTGACCGAATGGAGGCGGCGGTGGCGCAGCTGGTGGCGTCGGGCCAGGCGGACGCGCGGCTGCAGGAAGGCATGGCCAAGGCGCAGCAGGCCGCGGCTCAGGCAATTGCCGCGCTGACGGAGGCGGCTGCCGCGCCGCCGGCGGGCGCGGCGGCCGCGGTTGCGGGCGGGGG